GAGGCCGAGTCCCACATACAGCAACTAGAAGGATGTGCAGCTATGACATACAACTATCTACTGGGGCTTTGGGGGGAAAAAAAAAAAAAAAAAAAAAGAAACTGCCAGAATCAGTGGGAATTCACAGTCTGAGAAAAACAATTCACTATAAAAAAGAAAACCCTCCAAAAGAATCTGCCCATCCTTCTCCCATCCACTTGGGTACCTGACTTTTCCTGGAAGGTGTCCTGATTTGGGCTACCTGATTTCACCCTTCAGAAAAGAGACGTTACCTTGTTTTTAACATCTTGTTAATGCAGTCAGCACAACTCTGTTTGCCTTGGACCTTTACTTCAGCTAGGCTCTCTAACTTAGGCTTGCCCACTGGGAATTTACCATTCAGCACCGAATCTGCAAACTCTATCTGGGGTGTGGTTGTTCACTCTGTTACAGAAAATAGCATCATGTCATTTGGAAAAGTGGGGAAATAGAGGTCATGGAAGAGAGCTAATAATATAAGAGATTTGATTTTCTGTAAGGGGTAGGGTCATCCTAGAAGATTCAGTGGAATCACATTCTTATTAGAAATTTTAAAATGTCTGCCAGATGTTAACTTTAAAATATGTTGATGATGATGATGGTGGTGATTTGTTGAGTACAGATGAGGTTTAGGCATGGTGCCATATACTATACACTACACTGACTTGTTTGATCTCCACACCCACTCTACCAAGGACAAATACTTTCTTTCTATACATGAGGAAGCTTAGAAATTCGCTTGCTTGCCTGAGGTCTTACAGGCAAGTAAATGAGGAAGCTGGAATAGGAACCCAGATCTGTTATTTTTATCACATATGTAGTCTCTCGAGAATATATTCTGTGGTGCATTTTTGTCCTCTGAATTGTACGAAATATCAAGGAGTGTTCAAGCATTAAAATTGGATAATGATTGTAAGTTGATTTATCTGTGTTCTGCTTTTTGAATAAGAAACCCTAGCCAAATGTAGGAGAAGGTATTTAAAGTTGGGATGAGAGCACCTGGATTTTACACTCTTCCTCTGATATTTCACCTTAGCCAAGTTAACATCAACTTTCTGAAGCACTAATTTCTCATGTATAACTGAGTGTAGTATTTTCTGCCCAGTCTTGACTGGGGTGATAGATGGATTAAGTGAAATAACGTATCGGATGGCTTTTTGCAATCTGTAAAATGTAAAGCATTATTATTGTGATTACAATTATATTTCTTTTTGAATTCACTAAAATATTCCATTTGGGCTATTTCTCAAAGCTACGGAGAGACCCCTTCAAATTCTCATCCTTATACTGGGCATTGTCTATAAAGATGTGCCCATTTAAGCATTTATAATTTAAACAAGTGGACTGAATCTCACAGGCTTAGTTGTCAAATTCATGGTGTTTAACTCCGTTAAAATTTTGCTTCTTAACAGGGAACTTTCCCCAAGAGATCAGTATTATTAGGTAATAAGAAGGTGTCGGTGTTATTTATTTTGGGCGGCATGAAGGCATTGTATTATGTGAGAAATTGTGTGTTTTCGTGATGCCTACAAAAGTATGTAGTGGTAAAATGATACGATGTCCAGGGTTTGCTCTCAAATACTTCAGCAAAGAAAAAATACAGATAGATGAACACATTTGGCAAAACCTTATTAAGTTGGGAATCTGGGTCCAGTGTACTATTTTCCTCTACTTTTGCATAGGTTTGAAAATTTTCCTAATACATTTTTCAATTGTTCTTTCACAGATGCAGATTTTCTTTTACAATCCAGACGACTTTGACAGCTTTCAAACTGCAATTTCTGAAAACAGAATAATCGGAGCCATGGCCATATTTTTTCAAGTAAGTTAACGGTGGCCCAAGTACTTCAACCAGAGAGTTCTCTGAGTATTTTTTTTTTAATTCACCGAATTGTTCCATGTTTAATGAATGCATCTGTTTTCTAGTTCACACCTGTCTAAATGAAAGATATTGCATATTGTCTAATGTGTGATTTAAAATGTAAATAAGTATGTTTAGAAACATAATGAAAATTTTCGCATGAATTATTCTGATTTTATTGCTACTTGACTGGTGCACAGATTGAAGAACACATTTATCATCTAAGTTACTTCACTGCTGAAGCGTTTTGAACAGGTTCCTTCAGCATATTAAGAGGCTCATGTAAGAAAAAAAAGGTAGTTTTCTTTGGAGCAACTTTAAAATTTGACATTACTTGCAAGTAGATTAATAAATAGCATCCATCACTTCTCTAAAGAGACCCCTTTTCTTTCCCTGCCGGAAATCCCCATGGTAACAAGTTTTTATTAAGACCATTTCCAAATTAGTACATTTATGATCTCCCACCCTTTCTTTTTCTCTTTTATTGTGTTTAGATTAATGAGTGTTCCTGGCTCGTGTGTTAGTTCTGTACCTAGAAGCCAAAGCTTGCATCCCTCAATAGACAGGCTTTTTAATAAGTCAAATCAAATTAAAGCAGTGTTGATTGTTGAGTGTCTTGACCAAGTAGCCTAGAGGAGACCTGGTGCTGTTTTGTGTGGAAGGGAACCTGAGTAGAGGTATGTAACTTGTCTTTCAGTCTTAAAATTTGCCTAAAGACTACGTACAGGTGTTCCTTTTTTTTTTTTTTTTTTTTTTTT